CTGATCTGATTGGCCGCGCCCTCTCTCGCGCCCACGGCCGCCGAGGCGGCTACCTGACGTCCTGCCACCTGCGCTGCCATCGGTCCTGCGCTCGGCTCTCGGAGCTTAAAACGCCGTGCCGTTGGTTGCGCCCTCGGTCCGCCCAAATTCAGAGGAAAAGACACCGCAACTGCTACCCTTCCCTCGTCGCCACGACTTGATTCGCCTCGGAATCCTGGTCAGAACGCACTCCAAAAGAGGTCCGGGAAGAAACGGTATCGCTGTGTTCTTGTTTCCCCACAAACTACATCGCGTCGCGCGAATGGGTGCTACCAGTCCAGTCCAGTTGGATCCTACTGCTGTGTAACCCAGCCGCACCTCCCGAAAAACACATTCGCACATTCCAGTCCGGTCCAGTTGGGCCCTATGCTGCAGTGCAGCCCAGCCGCACCTCCCGAAAAACACATTTGCACATTCTGGCTTCGCCCGCAGCCCCTCCCGTGGAAGGTCGGGCGAGATGCCAGGTGATCACGCCTCCGATTGGCTGGTTGGTATCAGCACCACGCCCTCTGTGCCTTCCCTTGCCAGCCTCGCGCTGGGCGCGACGGGCGCCAAGCTGCTCGGCGCCCCAGGTGGTTCGAGCCGGCGGTGGCTAGGACAACCAGCGCGCTGCCTAGTGGGCCACGACGGCGGGTCGACATCACTGTGGTCCGACCTGGCTCGCTGAGCTGGTGACAGATCGACTCTTGCTGCGATGCGCGGCACAATGCACAAGACTGACTGGGTCTGCGGTATGCGATTGGGGCGGCACTCGAGGACTGGTCGTTTTACTGGAGCTCTCCCAGGCAGGCGCCGAGGTGAATCTCAATGAGACTGGCTGGGTCAGCAAAAGGAGATCACATCTCCAATACAGACATCACAGAAAGTGACAACCAACTCTGGAAACGGCTCGCGTGCGCGCGAGAGTGCGGCGCTGAAATAGTATCGGCCAGGGTAGGATGAGAGCACAGGGGCAATGCTGGGTCGTCGCTGTTCTATCAGCCCACATACAGCATCCAGGATAGGTACCGACCATCGCTTCTCCTGAATCGATGGGAGGCGGGGATAGGGTTCGGATTTCGCCATCTGTTCGACGAATTCCGAACCTTCCCCCGCCGCCAATCGAGCTGCCTGTGTCGTTGATCGGCGAGGGTAGGGTCCGGATTTCGCCGCCCACGGAAGGGAAGCAAAGCTTGATGATCCCCTGCCTACAAAGAATGCGGCCCCGATCGACCGTAAGCCGCAACAACGATGAGGGACCGAGCCGAAACCACCCGTGGCGATGATGGCCACCAGGTCAAGAGAAGCATGAGCCAAGCGCACCGGCGAGGCAGTCCAGGCGGGCATGGCCCCTGGAAGCAGCTGCGTGGGACACTCACCTTCAGCTCGTCGCACCCCGCTTTCCGCAGTGAAGCTCCAACATCTGCTCCCAACACTCACACACACACACCTGCCACGGCCACGCATCTGAGCAGACACACCGTCACTCCGGCCGCGAAACAATCAAAACTGGTAACCGCCGGACGGTAAGAGACCTACCTCTCCCTCCGTACGTCTGCCCTCGTGTGCTTCCCGTCCCACCCGAACCCACGCAAAAACCTCTTCGGACTCGGGAGCCAGATGGGCCCCTGTGGCGTGGGAGTCGCTGCCGCTTCCTTCGCTCCCTGGGCCGATGCATTCGCCTCTCGGAACAGCAGCCCAGCGCACGAGGCACGCACACGTGCATGCGGTATAACAGGGCATGGGGGTCGCTGCTGCCTCCTTCGCTCCTTGGGCCGATGCATCCGCCACTCGGAACAGCAGCCCAGCGCACGAGGCACGCACACGCGCATGCGGCATAACGGGGCGTGGGAGTCGCTGCCGCCTCCTTCGCTCCCTGGGCCGCTGCATCCGCCACTCGGAACAGCAGCCCAGCGCGCACGAGGCATATGCACACGTGTGCATGCGGTATAACGGGGCGTGGGAGTCGCTGCTGCCTCCTTCGCTCCCTGGGCCGCTGCATCCGCCACTCGGGACAGCAGCCCCGCACGCACGAGGCGTATGCGCACGCGTGCATGCGGTATATAACGGGGCGCCCGCGGGACCTGCGGCGCGACGGGGCCCGCCCCGCAGCGAGCCGCGGGGCCTCGAGCGCGAAGCCGCCGGCCTCCTCCTCCTCCTCCTCCTCCTCCCCCTCCTCCTCCTCCACCTCCTCCTCCTCCCCCTCCTCCTCCTCCTCCTCCTCCTCCTCCCCCTCCCCTCCCCCCCCTCCCCTCTCTTCCCTTCCCTCTCCTCCTCTCCTCCTCCTCCTCCCTCCTCCTCCTCCTCCTCCTCCTCCTCCTCCTCCTCCTCCTCCTCCTCCTCCTCCTCCTCCCATCCTCCTCCTCCCCTCCTCCTCCCCTCCCTCCTCCTCCTCCTCCTCCTCTCCTCCTCCTCCTCCTCCTCCTCCTCCTCCTCCTCCTCCTCCTCCTCCTCCTCCCTCCACCTCCTCCTCCTCCTCCTCCTCCTCCTCCTCCTCCTCCTCCTCCTCTCCTCCTCCTCCTCCTCCTCCTCCTCCTCCTCCTCCTCCTCCTCGTGTGTGAAAGGCTTTTCCGTTCGAGCCGTCGTCACCGTCATTTTCTCCTTGTCGTCTCTCGTCGTCCTCTTGTGCCTTCGCTCTCCTTCCCTGGCACCCGTCGCCGCTCCTCCTCAGGCATGTCCGCCAAAACGACATGGAGCAGCGTCGTCATACACTGGAAGGGAAGCCCCTTCCCTTGGATCCCTCCCCCGCCGGGAGGGGTGGGGGTCCAAGGGGGTCCCGGGCCCAGACACGGGTCCGGACCCGGGGGGGTCCCGGGTCAAATGCGCTTTCCCTCCGGGGGTTCCGGGGCCGCAAGAGTGCCCAAAAAGCTCCCAAAGACAGTCCACGAACGCCCCGAATTTCCGAACGATCTGTCCAAGACGCCCGAACGGCCTCCAGACGCCCCAAGAATCCTGTCCTGCAAGACGCTCAAAGAGGCCTCCAAGAACAGTCCCAAGAGCGCCTCGAGAACAACAACCGTAGATTGTCCATCGGTTTTGGAATGATCTCGGCGTTCTCGCCTCTCCCGCTTCCCGACGCTCCAAGACGGCCCAGGCGGCCTCCCAGATCGCCCTCCAGACAGCCCCAGAGGACTCCACGAACGACCCAAGAAAGCCCAAGAGAGTCCCAAGACGGCCAAAGACGCCTCCAAAAGGGCCTCAGAGACCCCCAATACAGCTCCAAGACGGTGCCGAGACGACGGACCAAAACGGACATTTCGAGCCCTCCGCCCCGAGTACGCACTCCCAGGAGAGACCAAGAGGCCCCCCAACGGAAGATGCCCCCAATAGGCCCCCAAGAAACCTCGAAGAGACCTCAAGATGCTCCCGAAAGGCACCCAGGAAGCCCCAACATGCCCCCAAGAGGCTCTAAAGAGACCCCTACACTGTCCCCTGGGGCCCCCAAGAGCGTTTCGACCAGACCCCAAGAAGCATCCCTAAGGACTCTGACCCACGTCAGCGTCGTCGTCGTCGGCAGCCCGCAGGTGTATACACAGTACATAAAGTGGTTGCCGCGCTGCCCTCTTGTCTTGGTGGCGACACACCACCCCCATCCTGGAAAAAGTCGAATCCATGGCGACTCCTCTGCCATCCAGCTTGACATCCTTCCTCCTCGTAATTATCTTCCCTCCTCCATCCTCACCCTTCACCTCCTCCGTCCCCCGCTCCTCCTCCCTCCCATTCGTTATCATTTGAATATTTCCATCGTCGCTGTCTTCGTCGTCGTCCCCCTCAGGGTCGGCGGCACCGGCCGTAAAGCCTTCGCAATCACGTCACGTCAGCCATCGGCTACCACTTCACGGTCACCCCAACACCCGACGGTCCTGAATGGCAATCGGCCTGGGGGTCTATCACAGCAAATGCTCTGGACCCCATCTTTGCACAACATTTGTTCAAGCCGTGGCAATCCGTGAGATCCCCGAGGTCTGTAAAAGAGGCAGGGATGCCAGCCATGACGTTTTCACGACGCCCAGGATCAAGGGAAGAACTTGGAGTACCATGTGGGACATGCTCTACAGCAGGAACCTGCCGTAGACGAATCTACCCTTTCTCTGACCTTGTACTGCATCGAACGCAACGGCCGCTTTCTCTATAGACGTGTCCACACTGGTTGTGGCCATATACGTGACGACACCCGCTGTGTCCTTAGACTTTTGTGGCTAGGAAACGAGAGCGGTGCTTGACATGTCCCCAGATCTTGCTCCCCTAGAAGCAGGTAGGCTTGGCCCTCCAAAGACGAAGCGCTTCCTCTCCCGCTCCCCTTCCCACTCCACGGCAGCTCCGGGGCCACTCCGGGGGCGGACTGGGGATCACTGCGGGGCCTCTTGGGGACACTTTGGGGGCAATCCTGAAGCAGTGGGCAGAGACCTCGAGCAGGCCGCGGGACGCCGCGCCCTTCGACGTCGCGATCTCTCTCTGCGACGTGGGCCCCCGGAGCTGCCGCCGACCCCCTGTCCCCAGGACAGGCGCTCCTCCCCAGCGAGGAAGAAGGGCCCGCCTCTCCCCGAGCCCGAGCAGGGGGCTCCAGGTGCCGAGATCACACACGAGCCAATGTCAACTTCGAGTTAGGGGACCGACTGTAGACCTGCTTTACTCCAGTGTTAACCGTTCGTCGACTCTAAACACATCGCATTCTCTGTGGACGTACGAGCATGAATCAATGATACGTATTGGTTTGCAGATTCGACGAGCGAGCCAACTTGGGGGGAAGCCAATTCTGCTGCCGATCCCCTACTCGACAATTACACCTCGTTCGTGGCGCTAGAGGTATGAGACACAGCGTGACCCACAGAAAAAAAAGAGCACACAGGGGCATCAGCAGCGCCCTCTTGAGGCTCCCGCCGAGCCCTGGCCGCTGGAAGATGCCCCGACTCCGGAAATCCCCACCGGCCAAAGATCCGAACACCGCCGCCTGCTTGTACGTTCCTACGGCAGTGTGGTTTTCGCAAGGGCCTTGGTGCCATCTCGCGCGTCCTCTCCGATCAAGCCCGCCTGTATCGTGGGAGCCGCTTGGCTCTGGAGGGAAAAGCAGGAACCCGTGCAATGCTCACGAGCACAGGGCCGCGGGGCCTCGTCGGCTCGCTGACAGTTCTGACAACAGCCGACGGCCTCCGCAGACCGCGTGGGCACCGCGGAGCTTTCCGAACGCTGCCCACACACCAGCGGGGAGCCGCCGGGAGCCGTCTCTGCCGCAGGCCTGCGGTGCCGCGCGAGGCCTCAGAGGAAGGCCGCCTCCGCTGGGTGGTATCCACGCCGCTCGCAGCCTGGGCGGCCCCCCAGAAGAAGCCCGCCCTCCTCGCTTCCGCCCCCGGCTTCCCAGAATCGGCAGCGCGCAAATCAGGAGGGGAAAAAACACCCAGACACAATTTATCGTCGACTCCCCCGGAAACATGGGAAACTATGGGAAGTGGGGGGGAAGACAAAAACCCAGAAACCATCGGAAAATATGGGCAACCTTGTTGCTTGTGTGCATCTATTTGTGCCCCAGGGCCCCTGCAGCAGAAGGGGGGACGTGGGAGGGGGCAGGCCCTCTCGGAAGGTGCCCCGGGCCGACTGCCCCGGAGCCCTCCGGCCTTCCCCGGAGCCCCTCGCCGTGGCATCGGGGCACGGCCGAGAGAGCCTCTCGGAGGGCGGGGGGCCCTCCGAGCCCGCCGAGGAGGCCCGCCCCATCCTGGGCAGGGGCCGACCGTCCCGGCACTCGTAATAGTCCTACCACGAAATGCTCTTAGAACCCAAACATGTTCTGAGAACAAAAACAATGCTCTCAGAACTTAGGCCTCGTGTGTGGAACCAAGACAGACTCCGCCAGACATGTTCTAGGAACATTTCGTGGGAACCACAAAAGGCTCTTAGAATATGTTTTGGTAGGGCTACAGGCGAGCCAGGACGCTTCGCCACTGCTTGACCATCTGCTTCCCCGCTGGGCGCGCCGCCGGCACAGATCCAGCGCCTCGATATAATCAGGGCAGCAGGGTCGTTGCCCTGTTTTGACTCGAGGGGCTGGCGTGAAGCCGCAAGGCCGCGTCAGAGCACGGCTCGAGAACGGCCCGGGCCGAAACGCGGGCCCTGGGGGAAGGAGTGCAGCTGTTCGGGCTCCTGGCGCGCCACCCCTCAAGAGGTCATGGCACCCGTCGAGCGGACCGACTGCGCAAGCAGGTGAAGTGGTGAGGCTCGAACGGCAGATCCGTCCCTGAGACAGCCGGAAGAGGGAGCACCATGCAATTTGTACCATAGGAGGGCGCCTGAACTAGACTGCAACCTGGGGGTCCAAACACACACACAGACCTTCGACGCACGATGGGTTCAGATCCACGGCGAGCTGCGGACCATGGAGGGGGAACCCTCTGCCCCGAGGGCTGCAGCTTGCACGGCTGCCTGCGGGCGGGGCAGACCGCCCAAGGCACGCAATCCTGCACCCATCCTCCCGTGAGAAGAGCGTCGGCGGACGGGCGATGCGGGAGCAGACGTGGAGCAGCATGGGCCAAGGCAGAGGTCGCATCGCCTGGACAGACCACGGGGGGTGCGCTCTCACCGAGGGCGTGGCCCGCGCTTGTCTCAACGCTGCGAATGTGTGCGTACTCCTCTCGAGCCGCGGACCCTTCGAGGGTAATCGATTGTAGGACACGTCGGAACTCCCCCTGCCGATTACCCTGCGCTAGGCTCGTCTGCCAGTTGGCGGTCTTCGGCAAAAGCTTCCCAATACACTGGAAGCGCTCCGCAACCAACACTGCCATCACCTGTTCTCTCATACGGATATCTGATATTGGTGTGTAAAATATGTGGCCTTGAGACAACATGGGGAAGCCACGGGACAACCGCGGGAGAACCACAGGACAACCACACCACGTGACAACCACGGAACAGCGACAGAACCATCATCGGGACAACAACCAAACCACCACGGGACAACCACGGGACAACTATCGGGGCAACCACACGACAACCACAGACCAACGTTGGGGCAACCGCGGGACATCCACCGGAACGGGACAATCGGGCCAACCATGAGATCAATAATCGAAACAGCCACGGGACAATAACCGAACCACCACAGGACAATAACCGAACGAACAACGAACCCCAGACGCGCCCATTCACGCCCCACCAGGCCCCAACGCACGGGGAGGCGACTCACTTTGGCGTGGCATGGGCCTAGCTAGTGCGGCTACTTGCGCAGCTCCGCCTCGGCCACACGCACTGCAAGCATGACACGGACCGAAACCGATCTGGAGGGGCAACGAGAAGGGGAGAACTGGCATAGGGGGGCGCACATCGACCTGGGATCGGCGATGCATCGCCGATAGGTTGGCGATAGGCCTCCAATCGTGAATCCGCACGTTCCTGGGCAGGCTGGGGCTATCGGGCCCCTATCGGCGATCAATTGGGCGATTGGTTGTCGATGCATCCCCCTCTATGCCTTCCCCCCCTGTCGTTGGCCCTGAGATCTACCAGGTGGGCGACTCCGTTGCACTGCGGGCTCCCCCACCGACATCCGATCCAGCGAAGCCAATAACGCTTGGAGGCGGCGGGGGGGCCTTGAACCTCGACCCCCCTTCCGGCTCGCTGGAACCAATATGCTGGGCCACGGCAGACACCCAGCCGGCCCCAGAGTAAAAGGCAATTATTTGCGCAGTGGGGAACCTCCACAGAAGGAGGAGTACGCAACACGGTGCGCGCAAAGCTGGCCTCGCCTGCTGTCTCCGGTCGGATCACCATGATGGAGGCGGAGACCAGGATGATACTGCCTGTATCCCAGTCGCACTGCTCACATCGCAATGCTACCAGACCACTAAAACATCAATTTGAGCAGGGACGATTCAAACTACAGCCGAACATGCGATTCAGAAAACGATCGTGTTAGAACCTGGGCCAGCTTCCCAGAGGCTTCTTCAGACAAGCCTGGGCCAATTCCTGTTGTTGAAGCTGGAGGGACGAACGTGCTCAAGAAACTGGGCCAGCTCTCCGGCGAGTTGGTCGAGAAACGCTGGCCCAGCTTTTCGGGAGGTTTCTTAATCGGATGCTCGACTGCAGTTACTTCTCATCTGGGTCGTTGCCTGCGGCCTGGCAGCCTCGACAGCGACGACGACGAGGACGAACCGGCAATGTGTTTACTCGTCCACTTCCCAACCGGGCGCTGCGACCTCTCGCGGGTACGTCTCGACCTCTTGGTCGCATGACCCGTCCTCTCGCATCACCCGTCTGCCCCTCCTGCTCCTCCAGCTCCTCCCCCCCCCTCCTCCCGCTCTCCCTCTGGAGGTCCCCCTCTTCTTCCGCCTCGCTCATCGCTCCTCCCCCCCCTTCCGCCGCCTCCCGAGCCGACGTCGCAATTCTCTTGTGACGCGGGTCCCCGAGGTAGCCCGTTACGGCCGACCTCTGCGGCCCCATCAGCAGCGTCGCTCCGCTCCGTCCTTTCCACGCACTCCTCAGTTCTGCTAGCCCGCTCCCTTAGTTTCCACCTGTCTTGCGGCACCCGCAGCTGCACACGGTCAGGTCCTTCGCCAGGCTACTCCTAAGTCGGGCCTGTCCCTCTACAGGGGGGATATTCAAAAAGAGTCAAAACATAGTCAGGGAACGATTTTTTCTACTATTTTTGAGCATTTGGGGGTAATGTTCTTGGGTATTTTTTATTTTGCGCCCAAAATCCCCCTGTAGGGGGACACGCCCGACGTAAGGCTAATCTTCAGTTCTTGGTGCCCCAGTGCCCTCCACGGGCCCAGGGGCTGTGCGAGAAACCAGCGACGAGCCGGTCCTGCACGAAGGCCCCAGGGGGTCCAGGACCCGGTTCCCTCGGG